CAGAGCATTCTGTGCAAAGGATAAACTGTTTAATCATTTGGAGACAAAACATGTTACGGAGCCTTCGATTCGTCCAGACCAGCTTGGCACAGAGAAGGGCAGTCTGAACTTCAAGCCTGTCCAAGCTACTATAGGGCGAAACACCGTGGACAGAGTGCCAGCAGCAGAGACAAACAACCGTTCACACTCATATTTACACCTGTGGACAATTTAGACTCACCAGTTAACCTAACTCCACTAAGTGAATGTCTCTGGACTGTGGGAGGAAGCCACACAGACGCAGGGACAATATGTCTGATATTACGATCAGTTTGAAGATCTGAAATGTGTGACGAATATGAGAAATGAAGGAATCAGAAAAGGTGCAGGTACTTTCTCCGAGTGCTGTATTATTGAGTCAGTGATTGATCTCTCTTCTCTTCCAGAGAAAATGATCAGCAGTGAAGCACTGGAAGGCGTTCCGCTCCTCGTGCTGGCTAATAAGCAAGATGTACCGGTACCTGGACTTTTCATTCATTCATTCATTACACGTGCACTTTAATGTGCACGTGCACTGGTATTCAATGCCTACTGCACAATCCACTTCGTATTGTTTGTCCTATCTTTGTGTATTGGAGATAGAGATAGTTAGTATAGAACCTTCTTGTCTCTTAATTTTACCCAAATTTAGCGAGTTATTATTTATTTGTAATTTCTAGTTTTATATCTCTTGGAGATGTATTTTTTATATTCTCATAATACACCATTGAGGTGGTTGGGGTGAAACAGCATTTCGGGACGCTGTACACTGTGTGTGTGTTGACAATAAAGACCCAGAATCTTAAATCTTGAACTTGGTCACTGCCTTCAGTCTTGTGTATGTTCTTTTTCTCAGAACTGTTTGTCGGTGCCCGACATTAAAACAACCTTCAGTGACTGTGCTCCAAAGATTGGCAAGAGAGACTGTTTAGTCCAGCCTTGCACTGCTCTCACAGGGTAAGACTACAACAGTTGATGACTTTGTTTGCAACAGCTTGCTCTCACACATGATGCAATGTAGCATTGTGTTTTTATTTGATTCTATTACAGTGAATGCAAATTTGCATCAATTTAAGTTTATGATCACATCTGTTAATAGATCTGTTAATTACAGTCCCTTCACTTAAAATGCAAAAACAACCACAATGTGGTGATTTCCAAATATTCAAATCCTAAATTTAATTGGAAACAGTCAAAAGACATTTTTGTAATGTTTTCATTTCATTTTCAAAGTGTGCCAGAGGTTTTTATTGGTTGACAGGTTTGCACTTCCAGCAGCATTAATGGGGTCAAAGTTCCCCATGCCACGACCAATAGCAGAAAACTGCACCATCACAGATTCTTCTGAACTGTGAGATGGATGGTCATCCTTTTTTAACAAGGGTGGATGTTTCACAATGTGATTGCACAGCCCTCCTTTTCCTCAACCCAACTTAAATGAGCTCGAGCCTCAGAGAAGACATTAGCATTTGTTTTTTTAGTTGTAGAGTCTGAAGTCACATCAGTGGATGCAGTGGATTT